TATTCATAAAATGTACTATTCTAAGTTAAAATATGAATACATTTTCAAAAGCATTTGATTTAGCTGAAACAAGATATAGCTGATTTACCGAAAAAAGCAGGATTGTCCTCAGGTAAATTAAATCATGATACATAATTGCAGCGAACTCAAGTGCAATACATTGTAAGACATAAGTCCTCCTTTAGTTTTCACATTTTTATATCTTGTATATGGGCAAAGCCGAATTAAATTAAATTTAAATTAATTCCAACACTAGATAAATAAGGAAACTGATATGAAGGTACTAACTAGGTAAGTATAAAACCAGTGGTTAACAATATTGGGATACTTTTTGAATTATATTAAAACTGTCTTGAATGTCCTATCCCAAATCTTAAAAAATACATGGCAGGCTAAGGTAATAGAGAATTTTAAAATGCACTTTCTACCAGGATCTGTATTGAAAGGAGATGCTGAATACCTCACAGTGCCAAGGGAACAGGCAACGGCGGGACGTTGTCACAACATACTTCCGGACGCCTGGCTTTATACGATCTGCTGATCTGTTTCTCCAGAACTGGAACTAACACCTGTCCTTTTCTGTCTCCTACTTTGATTTGAAACTTATGTTTTATTTCTACTCTTGCTTAAAATACTTTTCAACTTTTTAATAATTGATGCACTAACTTCACAAAAGTATAAGAGCAGGTGAAACCCCAAGGAATAAATGAACTTTTTAATGCTTTCAATCATTTAGGAGGCTGGTACACAGAAATTTAGGAGACTGGTAAAAGAAATTTCTTCTTTTTATCACACAGAATGACTTTGAACTCAATCAGAAGCATAAACCTATAGTTATGTTACTTTAGGTTTATAAGTTTGCTTATTGTAACCAAATTATTTTAAAATTTATAGTACAGAATTAACCTTGGTATTTATATGATGACATATTATGCACCTAACAGTATATTTTTATTACAACTTCAATTATTAGATTTTTTTTCAGAACGCCAACTATTAATTTTCCTAATAACGTTAGATACCTATTTATCTAGACCTTTCTGAAAAGATGTGTTAATCCTTGGAGTTCAAATAAAGTAAAAATTTTTTCTAGTAAGGCTTCCCTAGATAATGTTCCTATTTGACCAGATAAGCGAAGATTACTTTTAAAAAATATATTTTAGATAAAATAAGTTGGTTCTTTCAGCTGCATTAGTTGATTCTTCCAAATTTGAGACATAAATTCATTTTATCACTATGGTACCTGAATTATTGCATCTGTCTCTCTATACACATCTCTCACAATACATCACCAAAGACAAGGAAAGATAAGCTTCTGGCCCAATTTTTGCTTGAAAATTCCAAAGCACTAGGAGCACTTTAAGTTTGGTCGTGAAAGAAGTTGTTGTTTATAAAATCAAAGGGCTACCGATTCCCTGTTCATCCTGCACTGAAGCACATGATGACAATTTCAAACCTTCCTTTTGGTTCATTAATTAGAACAGTGCATTTCATTGCTTAAGTATGTAATTCTGCAGTGATTAGCAGTACTTGCTTTTATCATTTCATTTGGGTGGCCATTAATTTTGAAACTCTTACCACTCATAGCTAGTTGTAGTTTTATTAAAGATGTAATTTATAGCTAGTGGCTTTTTTATGCATAGCTGCCTTTTTTATTGTTTAACAGTGTTTCTCAGCTATATAATCAGTTTCAAACTGGTTGTAAAAGTATAGCTGTAGCCAATGAATGTATTTATTTGTTGTTTCACTAAATTGTAACAAAACACTCCTGTTAAAATAAAAGTGTTTGTGCTTTTATTTGGAGACCTGGTTTTCTTAATCTCTCTTAATGAACTACACTGAACAAGTTTCTGTTATATAAGGATAAGAACCCTAGTGCTACCAGAGAAAGAGAAAATAGGAATTACAAATGATAGTTACAACTGGCCATAGTGTCCCTTAGTATTTATACACTAATTTGATAGGAACTGCCATACACTTTACTTTAAACTACCAATATGATATTAGATAGTACATGTTTATTCAAACATTAAGCTAAGAAAAATCCTTATATGAAATAACTTATAGCACCTCTCCCCTTTCCCTTAGAATCTTAAATAGGAATAAATTTACCTAGTCCATTATCTTAGGCAGCTAGCTATTCTTTGGATTTTTAAGAAATTCCTCAATGATGTAACCTTTTCCCCTGAAAGAAGAGTTCTTACTATTTTTTCCATAATAGACCCCTTTCAGAACCAGCCAATAACACACCAAATTTTGAATATAGTTTCAGGAACTTTATTGACACCCCACCCCCCAAAGTCTACAAATCTTTGGGAGTCTACCGACGCTTGCTGTAAAGAATATTTGGAGTGAAAGTATGACCTCTAATAGAATAAAATTATCATTTTAAAAGCAATTTATTCAACAAACATATATAAAGTGTTCATATGCCAAAAACTATGCTGTGGCGATGCGAAAATGGATCGAGTTCCTTTTCCTGCCCTTAAGGGGCTCACATTCTAGTAAAGGAGGCTTTAAAAAACAATACAGTACAATAAGTGACACAGTAGAGGTAGGTGGTAATTACAGTGGTAACACAAAGACGGTGGTTAGTTATGCAACAAGGGTGATTTCAGAGGCCGCACGTCCCGCTGGGCCTGCGGGGATACACAGACATTCTCCAGGTGGGGAAGCGCAGAACAGCATGCCCCGAGGTGGGGGGCTGACCATGGTGCCCTTGAAGAACTGTAAGTCACTTTATCAGAACATGGGTGGGGGAGGTGGGGGTGGGGCACACACATCAGAGAGCCTTGTTAGAGAGCTTCTAGAAACCCCACTCAGGCGGCGGCTGGGAGCAAGGAGACAGGTGAGCGCAGTGCTGCAGGTAAGAGCAGTGAGCAGGGCAGACGGATGTGTCAGCAGCGCGGAGACCAAGGCCTTGGCGCTCGGTCGCTGAGAACAGGTTAGCGGAGGGGAGAGGGGAGAGGATGTAGCTGGCCGTGGTTCTGAACTTGACCAGCGGGGGAACACAGGCGTGAGAGTAGGTTGGGGGAGGGTGGCTGTTTTAAGACACACACAGGGATCTGCAGGACAACCAAGGAAAGATACGTCGTAGACAGACGGGTGGGGAAGCCGGCGCTCAGGGCAAGCACAAGTCATCGAGTTGGATCGACCCGAACGTGAGAAGCGGCGGCGATTAAAGACAGCAGGAGTGAGTCTGAGGAAGGCCACTGAAGGATAAAGGAAAAGAGGCTGAAAAGGAGGCGTCTAGGATTAAGTTAAATATAAGGAAAGCGGGGGGAGGGGGGATATTTTTAAAGGAGAGGCTGTCAACGGTGTCAAATGCAGAAGAAAAAAAAGTCAAGTAAGAAATGCCTTGTGAACTGAGCTGCGGGTTTAGTACTGGGTTGTTAGACTTCAAAGGAGGAGATTGTTAGGAGCTACAGAGCCAAAAGCCAGATCTTTGTTAAGGAGCAAGTGGGAGGTGACAAAGTGAAGACAGGAATATTCTTTTTGTAAAAAAAAAAAATCGGCTGTTAAATAAAGGGCAGGGGCCTGAGAGAAGTATACAGACAAATTGCCATTTAAATCCATCTACCGTATTTTCGGAGCACTATAAGCGTCCTTAAACTTTTACGTATGGAGCTTATTTCATGGTCCTTCGGGCCCCAAGAACACTGACTTAGCTGGTAGGTTACGGTGTCTTGTCCCTACCCCATTCAGATGAGCGGGGACAGGAAAGTACAGCACACATTGTTGAACTGATCTGTGATTATTCATTTAAAATACATGTTCATTCATTCATTCGACAAATACTTATTGGGCACGCACTATGTGCTTGACACTATACCAGGCCTTAGGGACACCGAGAAGAAAAAGTATACAGCAGTGTGAAATGACATTTCTAAACCATTCTATAAATAAACCCCGCTTTTTTAATAACGTGGCATCTCAACATGGCATACCTGCTAAGACACATAGAGGCACATGATTTTGAGGTATACAGTTTCTTTTTTCCCTACAATTACCATGTGATATAAATTCCTAAACCTTTTCAGATATTTTTTATCATTGAAGAGCTTTCCCTAATGAAACCTCCCAAAATTACAGTTTAGTTTTTAAGGAGAAAAAGGAAATGAATATAAAGAATAAAAAATGACATACCCTCTGAGTTTATGGCTCAGACATTAAAAGGGCCACAAAATAAATTCAAAGTGATTCCTTATTCTAAGGCTTATCATGTTATAGTTCCAGATTTTTTTCTGAAAAACAAAATCATTTTTAATAAATTATTCAGTATTACACAGTAAAGGGTGTCAGGTTCAAAGGGCATGATGCCTGTAATTGACTTTCAAATGATTGAGGAAAAATAAAATGTGTATATATACAGAGAGCATGAAAACTAAAGCAGACATTAATAATTAGGGAATCTGGGTAAGAGAGCTCTTTATACTATCCTGGAAACTTCTATAAGTTTGAAATTATATAAAAATAAAAAATTTCTCCTAAATTTTATTCAGTATTAGGTAAAGTATTATGAGAATAAATATATAAATCTATTCAACTTTTCACAATCTATAGAAATCCCCCATGTCATTGTATCTTTCTACAAACCAAGCTAGTCAAAAAGGTAATATTCTAAAAGTGTGGGTTTTTTCATACCAATGTATGTTAGGGCGGCCAGTAAAACTACCAGTTACATTTGAATTTTAAATAAAGAATAATTTTTTGATATAAGTATGTCCCAGACATTGCATGCAGCATATTTATAGTAAAAAACTATTTGTTTAACTGAAATTCAAATATAACTGGGCATCCTGTATTTATATTTACTATATCAGTTAACTCTGAATGTACTGAAAAATTTTAGGCTGTTAACTCTGGGTTATTCATGAGCCTCCTTAGCACTTTTCTATTAAACACTTTTCACATTGGCCATAGCTTTATTTATATTACATCTTACATAAAATTCTAGTTTGAGAGACTTAAAACATCATGTACTTACTTTTACCATGTACGAATTTAATAATCCTGATTTTACTCAATATTAAACTTTTAAATTTGTACCACATTAGCAAAGTATTACTTTTACTCACAATATTATACATAGACTTAACACAATTTTAAAAAAATGTTTACTTAAAACAATATAATTCTCCTTTTACAAAAGCAGCTTTATAAAATATTTGCCTTAAGACTGTCATTGTTATTTTGCCTTTGAATGAAATTCCACACTCTTTGACCTCCATTGTCCAGAAACGGGCACATTTCAACTCATTTTCTTTAATGAACATTTTGTAACAAGTTCCTGAAGTTTTCTAATTCTTTCACACTTGTAGAAATTCTGTAACAATAAAAAAATTTCATTCAGAAACTATCTTAGATAACTTTTCTCTGTAAGTTATTCACTTTGCACTTTTAGAACACAGAAGAAATTTTGAGTAATCTACTTCAACTAATTTAAAGGTGCATAAATCATTTAATCTATTTTGATGTACTTTAATTCTTAACTTGATGTGGTAAAACTAAGATAACATTGCCCAGAAATTTGTTATTTTTAAGTATTTATAACTTAGTATTAAAGTTTTAAATTACAGAATTACAAAGTACAAAAATATTAAAGTATTTTAAGTATTCATAAGTATATTCACATGCTTAGTATTTAAAGTACGTAAGTATAAAGTACGTAAGTATATGAGTACTAAGAACTAATCAATATATCATAGTTAGTAAATATACAGAGAACCAAAGCTTTTGGACTTAAAGAGTGAGAATAGTAAATGTGTGATCAAATTGTTTTCACTAATTTTTATAAAAACTAAAGTTCATTATTTCAAATGTAGCTCAGCTCTGCTCTCCACCATGAAAAAAGTAGCGGAGTCCTCAATGAAATGTAACTGTTAGGTTCCTGCATAGTAAAGAATAACTTTGAAGGTCAGTTATTTCAAACCCAAAATATTAAATCATTGTTAGTCCTTAGAAAATACTAGTTTTTATAAATCTCTGCATTCTTACCTATGATAGGCCAGAAGGAAATGCATCTATAGTTAAATTTTATCAAGAAAGTGCCTTATTACAAGCTTATCTTCCATTTTTGTGAAATTATTTTTTAAAGAATTATTAACCTTTTTACATAATGGTGAATTCACAAAGAAATTTTACATGTACACCTATATGAAACAACATGAGTTTTTCTAGGACCTTCAAAAACTATTTGGGGAGCACAAGAAACTACTTTTAAATAATTACAGAAAAATATACAAATTCAGGTCCGGCAGGCATGGCTCAGCCATTGAGCATTGACCTAGGATCCAGGAGATCAGGGTTCGATTCCCAGTCAGGGCACATGCCCTGGTTTCGGGCTTGATCCCCAGTCAGGGGCGTGCACAAGGCAGCCGATCAATGACTCTCTCATCACTGATGTTTCCATCTCTCTCTCCCTGCTTCCTCTCTGAAATCAATTTAAAAAAAATACAAATTCAGTGAGATGAATATTGAAGTCCAATCAGTAAATTAATCACGATTATAAAAGTCAATAGATAAAAATAAAGAATACCATGTAATGACTGTTCGTATCTACATACTTAAGGTATTTCATACGATCTTAGAATTCTTTAACAAGATAATTCCACTGTAAAGGATATTCCTTACCCAGTTTTATCTGAGTATACACTTTGCATTAGACTTAGTTGACTAGCAGAAACAATTTCAATATATTTAGACTAACCTTCCGAATGCATTAAATAATGATACTATTTCTTGTCTGGTTAGATGGAATTCGTAACTGGGCCCACTTTCTGGCATATTCGCTATCAGTTTCTCAGAAAACAAGATCTTCAGAGCAGTACCCAAACCCTGAGTCTATAATAGAAATAAGAAAAGAAAAATCAGAAAATTCTTGGTGCAAAGAATAAATGAAAAATAGGATTAAGATAGATTTGCTTACCTGAAGCTTTCCCCACAGTCTACATTTAAAACAACCAACACAGTCCATGATTCTTGAAATGTTTCTAAAATGAAGTCGAAATTCCTCCTAAAAACAATTTAACAAAATTGTATTAAGCTGCAGTATATAATCAAATACTATTTTCTGAGTGCCTTCTATAAGGTGTCCTATTGTATGTGATTATTAACTATATGTCAAGGGGGTTGGATGGTCTCATTTACCAAAGAGAGAGAGGGAGGGAGGGAAAAAGTAAAACTTTGACTTCAGAGTAATTAAATGAAAGCCCTCTTTCTGATATTAATTAGGTGAAACAATCAGATATTATTATTATTCAGAAATATACAGAATATAGTGAATATCCATGTATCCTTCACCAAGTTCTACAAAGAAACCATTACAAGTAAAACTGAACATTCTGAACTTTTTGTTTTTATACTTTTAATAAATGTGTATATATCTTTGAACATTAGGGCATTATATTGTTTATAATAGGGCAATGGGCATCCAGCTCATCCGAAAGCAGTACATGTCCTTAACTAATAAGGAAAAGAGAAGGGAAGCGAAGAACACATCCTTCATTTACTCCAAGGTAATTATTAACTGATCCTCCAAGTGACTCCCTCTGTCCTGGACATATGCTGAGTCGACCTACAGTACTATAAGCAGGAAATCTGACATACATTTCAGATGGAACATCCAATATACCGACCGACCTATAATTTGCAAGCATATAGTGTTTTTCTCTTTTTTTTTAATGTGATAAACCACACACTGGGCCCAACCAGAAGAGAATAGGACCAACGATCTAAAAATAAGAATAAGCCAGCAAAGACTGGAACCCACAATTCAAAGCAGACCTCATTTCACTCTAATTTACTCAGTTCAGTCTTTCCCCAGACGTTTCATTCAACTTGAGACTCAAACAGCTGTAACATGTAAAAGATCTTTAGTAGGATTCCCAGATCTTGTATCTTTTTTAATACAAATTTTGTATTAATACAAAGCCCAAATTATTACTATTAATTACTACTATATGTTAGCAATATTCTGTATTTTGTATTTCTGTATCTTTTGGGCTGAACTCAGTAAGAGGCAATCCTAATTTTAAATCTACCTTTTAAAAATATTTATCCAGTAATATTACTCATATTATTACTCTTAAGATATTGGTGATTTGATTTGAGGTTTCCTTTAAACTTGTTTTGACTTTGAATTAAAGAAAAATCATACTTTTAACACCAATAACAAAGTAGTAAAATTACTCTAAAGTGGGTGTTCCCATCCTGAGTTGTTGACCTCTGGAAGACTTACTGGTTGTTATAAGGGCCTACAAAATCCAGTTATAGACAAGCATTGTATATAGAATGAATAAATAGCTCGCTTCACTTGTATGCACTATAAATTTCCAAATGGCTAAGAATTGTTATGACCAATAAAACACAACTTTAACTTTAAAATGTTACTAAATGCATAGTGGCTTTTTAGCAATTATATTTTCTCAGCCAGTAGACATTTAAAATACCACTGTCATAAGGAAAGGCCTTGAAGGTTTCTGACTTTCTTACTTGTAAAGATGGAAGCCTCTGTTATAAAAGATTGTGCTTGCTTTTGTAGACGCTGTCTAAATTTGGTATTTGAATCCATGTTTGGTAATTCAAATACTTGAATGTGGCAATTCTTGAGCAAATCTTTGTATGGCACACAAAGAGAGTAAGCATCTAACACTGCAAAATTAAAACCAAGCAAGAGTGCTTAAGTGAACTTAATGTGCTAGAACCAACTTAATAAGCCAGAGATTGCCTAGCTCAGAACAGGAGAAAATACTTGTGACTTCCACAAATAACAATCAATGTCCAATAACCTGAGTATATTCCAAAGTTATCTCAGATTAGAAAAATTTTTTACCCTTAAAATAACCAGAACTTAAGTCACTTACAAATTCTCCTTGTTTGTGTACAGTTTTTAGATCAACACTTAAAAGTACAGTCAGAGGGGAGAATAATCAAACATGCTGTGGTTATACGCTGCGGTTTATATTCTGTGAAACCGAGTGACCAGCAAACGATTCCCACCCAGCTCGCAAATGTTTCATAAGCCTTCAAGTAAGATCATATTCTAGTCTGAACTGCACACTAAACGATCCTCATTCGTGCAAGTCACCTGTTTCTAACCAAACACTGACAGAGCATAAAGGAGACAAGATGAGATTTTTAAATGAAGTTATAAATGTGACTGTTCAAATCCATGATGTTCACCATAAACTACTTTTTTTAAGAAAGTAAATCTCCACTATTAATAAGTTTTCTTGTTTTTTTACTCCTTTCTTATAAAAGGATTCAGAAAAATTATCTGTTAAATGCCACAGGACATCAAACTTGAGTGTTTTAGTTCTCATGAAATTAAAACATTGTGAGAAAGATTTCTAATCTGCGCAATGTGAAAAGAGTGAATGCCAAAACACTCTCTAGTAAACCAGCAAGTATCCTCAAAGCAAGGAAGACATTGAAAATAGTAGGGGGAAAAGTCTTATTACAGCATCTTCCCCCTCTTTTCTAAGTTTCTGGAAGCTGTTTGGGAGGTTATATAAGCACTGAGGTATGTATTTCTAGCAAGAATGCTTTAAGTAGGAAGTAGATGGGAGGTCAAAAATAACTGTTATCTAACAGCAAAAACGGAGTGCAAAAAGTATTCCGCTTGGAAATGGCATAAAATCAGGCTCTTTCCTTAAGAAAGAAACAAAGAAGAAACAGAAAAAGATTGTTATAAATATTCTGATGAAATCAGATCAAGCCCAATGCTCCTGCAGGCCACCTGCCTTTACTTACTTACCCATAGCTTTGTAACAGAACAGTAATCTAATTTTACTTGAGTCCCCAAATAGGCTAGAAATCCCTTGAGGATAGGAGCTGTCTCTCCCTTTAATGACAAAAACCATGCTCTCCACATAGTAAGCACTTAATAAATCTTCCTCGTACTGATTTATATTTGCAGTACTTTGATGCAGGTACACACAAAGATGGTCTTGCCTGAGGTTATACCTCTATTAAGAGGCAAGGCAAACTGCACACCTAAACTAATGTAATACTGTATGTCATCTGCAACGGAAAAAAATTTAAATAAAATATAAATAAACAAATCAATAAGCAAAAAGAGGCAAGGGAAAACCTAAGCCCCATTTTGTGCGGTATCAGGTCCTCTGTTCTTTCCGCACCTGCACGCCGGCATTCCCAAACCCCTTAATTCCCATTGTGTGAGACGAACGACAGAACACTGTGCCCTCTCCCCCTGAAGAGGCTCCTTCAGTTCAACCAAAACCATTTTCAGGGTTCTCTTCAGCCAAAGACAGACCGATACTGCCGCTCATGCTCTAGGTCCCTTTCCTTTAGTTTATAGCCTCTCTTTATTCCATGAGGCCATCGGTACGGAAGCCACCGGCACCGTGTGCAGTGGCACACGGATTCCAGTTGTTATTTTGAACACAACGTAGTGTTCAAACTAGATCATAAGTTGGACCTGCCTTTGGACTTCCTTTTGTTTGAGGAAAAGAAACATTCTGACTGATTCTTCTTATAGTTTCGGGTTGTATGTCAAGATTCATTGTTAAGGATAAAAATGTGGGCTTCTATTCGTGCCTGCCTAAGAGTTTGTATCTAAAAATCAAGTTAAAGTATAAAATAATTACCTTTAGTTTGTCTGCTTCCTTTTTATTCCCAGCAAAAAATGAATTCTCATCAAAATGCAAAGGAAATGACCTGCATTTTAAAAGAGAGAATATCCACTTTCATATGCCAGAAAATATGAAAAGTTCTGCTAATATAACGTTTTGCTGGTCAGGGATGAATCACGTAATTAAAAGAGTAGAAAATAGAGTAAAAGCAACACTCTAACGCCCCCAAATTCTTACCCTCAAATCTAAAAGCTAACTGCAAAATATAATTGTAAGTTTGGCCCCAAACCCAGCCTATACAACTAAATGTGAAAATAATGCAGGTATCTAAGTACTGAAAGAATGGTTCTTAAAATTAAAAATCTATGCCTTTTAGAACCCAGGTTAGAACAAAAACATAAATCAATTCTAAAAGACCAATGAGCAAAATTAGCTGTTAATTATTTTTTAAATAGTCTCCCTTTCTCTATATTGCATATTTAAGAATTTAATTTTGGATACCACTTGTCACTCTTCTACTAATGTATAAGTTGTAAATATATTATTTACTTGATTTCATGAAGTATTTCCAGAAGTAACATTTTGTTATCTGCATCCTGAACTTTATTCCCAGTGAAGAGTTGAAAATCTGGGCGCTCAAAGAATGGTACCACTTTAGATAAAGCCCTTAATTCTATTAAGTAGAGAAAATACAAGTTCTTAAGCCTTCTTGGACCTTCTCCCTCAGTCAAAATTCCATCAAACCGCTGCTGAAATTCTGTGACGTTGTGTCCCCATATCTGTTCTAACCAGGTATCTAAGAAGACAGAAGAATTAAATATTAAAAATTGAATTTTAAAATGAAGTAAGTTTCATTTTACTTACATTAGGTTATTTATGCCTACAGAAGTTAATTTCATTTTATATATTAAAATACATAATAATACAACCATGGAAACTGGTTTTCATAACTTAGCCTTTAATAGTTCTATATTATCTTCTAGAACCCATCCATAAAAGGAAAATAAATGTTTCAAGAGAAACCATGTTTAATAAAAATCAAATTTCTGAATATAAACATATTCGTAAACAATTTAAAAATGACTATCTGAAGTTACTAATGAGTTTGAAGCCTTAAGGTTACTATATTTTATTTCTAAAATGTAAAAAATACTTTAATTCCAGAAGAAATATGTTACTGATGGAAATCAACCATGGTCCCATTTTTAACAGCATTCTTAAACTGTAAAGAGCAACAAAAAATGCTTTTACCCATTAAACTCCAGGGCTGAAGCTGGCACACAAATAAAAGAGTTCTGATACAGTAATATCTAAAGAATAACAACCTGTACTGTTTTGATTCCCACAACAAAAGAACATTTCCAAAGAGATGGGTCCAGTTTTGAGCAGCTTTTTAAAAGAAGGTGAAGAGCTAAAATAACACTGAACTTTTCCTTATAGTATCTATAGTTCCTATATTCCTGATGACTACCATTTAAGAATGAAAATTTTTTTTTCTGCCTAGTATTCAATAAGGTCAGTTTTGTTCCATTCAGGTAAATACCATGAAAATGTTAAGAATTCCTCAAAATAAGTGTGGGAAAGTGAATGCAAGTGGAAGTCACATACCTTGTAGAAGATACCGTGCGCTCAGGTGCACATTGATGCTTGCGTGTAGGCCAGATATAAGTCTGTAGAAGGCTCTTTTTTCTACACAGAGGCCTAAAAAAAGTGATTTGGAAGTAGAAATTTCATATGTGAAACTTGTAAGATTATGAAATTAATTTCATGTCTTTAAAAATGAGATAAAATGTTATCATTTAAATTTGTCTAAAAATTTTCAGTTACCTTCTAGCCAGCTGTAAAAAGTGTTCTCTGAAATTAAAAGAAAAAAATAAGTCACAAGATTATAAAAATGCCAAAAGGTAAGTTTTTCAAAAGTTGAAAAATATAGCAAATTTGTGCCAAACAGCAATTTAAAGATTGTTTAACAAAAGGTCCAAATCTTATTTGTAATTTCTCCAAAGGAAGGAGAGATGTCTTGTTATGTGTTCCATTAAGTATCCCTCTTCTGCTCAGGCTTTAGAAGGCCTTAACATGAGGTAGCCTCAGTCTCATAACTTTCTGGATAAGGTGTTTTATAAGAGGTCAAAACAGAATTTAAATGGTAAATCAGTACGTGGAGAAATACTTAGTCTTGATAACAGTTCATGCTATGAAAACTAAGAACTCATTATATGCTGTTTTAAATTTGAAAAGTAAATAAAAATTATAAAGTAGAATTGGAAGTGCATATAGTTCATGGTATTATATACCATTCAGTATTTCAAAAGAGGAAATCAAAGTTACAGAAAGCAAACATCACTTATATTCTACAACCTAGTAAGATCATTGTTAATATACTTAGACCTGGTAATTCTGCTGTTAGAATTATGTTCTAAAGAGATAACTCAAAATGGGAAGGGGTTATAATTTTTAGAAAGATGATTACGTTATATATGCATTGAAACCTGAAATAATCAAAACATACAATGATGCCTGATTAACATGACAGAATACTATATAACTAGTTAACATGGTAAAAAAATATAAAACTATGAAAATGACAAGAATGGTCCCCAGTAGGGATGCATACAGGAGGCAATGGATCCATGTTTCTCTCTCTCTAAAAATAAAAATAAAAATAAAAAACAATTTAAATAAATAAAATGACAAGAATGTGTAACATGACAATACATGAAAATGTTTATTTGAAATAATATATTAAAAGATATAAGAAATCATCATAGCCATGTAAAGATGCCAAGTACGCATTTGCTAGCGATGGCAAACATTGCGCTATACGGTCCTTTTGACTAAAGTTGCTTATAGTAATATTTAAAATGAACCAGGCATGCATAAAAATAATGGAAGAAATAACAAAGAGAATAAGCAATAAATTAAACTATTTGAAAACTTAAAACATCTGTCAGAAAACTTAACAAATAAAAGCAAAATACAAACAACAAAGTGGGCAAAATGGATGTAGCAAATACAACAAAGGAATAAAACCCTAAAAATATAAAAAGCTCACAAGCTGAATAAAAATGCTAAAGTGCCCATTACAAATGGGCAAATTATATGAATGGAGAATTCACAAGGAAAAAACACAAATGGTAATAGATAAAAATTGCTCAGTCCCATTAGTAATAAAAAATACAAATTAAAACCATAGAGATACCACTTTTAACAGTAAAGATAAAAACATGATAATATTTAATGCTGGCAAGGGTCAGGTAAAACTAGCTGGCACACTGATTGGAAGGCGTGTAAATGAGCACATCCTTTCAACGGCAAAAGGCAATGTCTCGTTATATGTATCAAGAGCCTAAAATGTCCATATCCCTGGTTCCAATAAATCCATTTCTAGAAATCTAGACTGTTAGAGATAAATGTTTGTATATCCCCTAAAATTATGCTGAAGCCCCTGTGATGGAATTTGGAGGTGGGGTCTTTGGGAGGTAATTAGGTGTAGTTGAGGTGGTGAGGGTGGGGTCCCCATGGCGGAATTAGTGTCTTTATAAGAAGAGGAAGACACCCAAGCTCTTCCTCTCTCTGCCATGTGAGAATACAGCACGGAGGCCGGCTCTCTGCAAGCCAGGACGGGGCCCTGCCCAGAAACCCAATCTGCTGGCACCCTGATCTAGGACTTCCCAGCCTCCAGAACTGTGAGAAATAAATGTATTTTATTTAAGCCACCCAGTCTATGCTATTTTGTCAGAGCAGCCTGCGCTGACTACGACATTGGCCAAGGAAGCAAGTAGGCATGGGAACAATAGTATACAAAAGTATAGTGTATCTATTATAAAATATATACATATGTAAATAATTGTTATTATCAAAATGTTAACGGGGAAGCAGTATGAGATGGTAAGAGCATGGACCCTGGAGCCAAACTGCCTGATTTGAACCCAGATTCTGCTACTTACAAGTCATACAATTTTAGCTGAGTTGCTAAATGGCTCAGGGTCTCATTTTCCACGCCTATAAAATGGAAATAAAAATAACGCCTCTGAGGATGGCTGGAAGGGTTAAATGAAATCGTATTTGTAAATTTCTTAGGAGAACATTGTATGTAGCCTTGGCCATTATCAGTATCAATTATTTTGGAGTCGTGGGATTACAAGTGATATGTTTCCCTACAAAAACTTTTAGGTTTTCTTTTTCAAGTTTTGGAGCATGAATGGGGGTCGGGGGCGAGCAGGGATGGAATACCGTTTGGGGCCCAGCCTTCTGATGAAATTTTCAGTTCAGCCTTAGAAGGCTGAAGCAGCTATTCTCAGCTTGACCCGATGGTGATGCAGTTAGACAATCACCTAATATGACAGCTGTCAGGGGTAACCTTCTCACATCTGACCAAAATGAATACTTATAAAGACAGTCCTAAATAAGATAGTTTCTCTAAGGATAGCCTCCATAGGGTAACAATCTTTTCTCTGATGACAGACAGGGTGAGGTCTTCAAATAGTTTTGAAAAAACAAAATAGCCTCTTCCAATGTAGCTAGAATATAGCACAGAACTAGAAACACCCAGGACACAACAAGGTTACTCAAAACTGAAAGTTACCACTAACAGTAACAAAATACAGGGCACCTTTGGAAAATACATTACTGCTAAAAAAATTCCTCTTCCCAACAGTACAGTTCTGTTCAATATTTTACTTAGCTACTATCATTACTATTAACATAATAATGTTATTAGACTTTAGTATCGTGGGGTTTTCTCAGACATAATACAAAAGCAATTCATAAAAATAATGTTCAGAAGATTCTAAGGGAGGGGAAAGTGATACCTCACATATAACAATTTCCTCTAGCTGGACTAAAGCTAAGTGCTGCTTAGTCTTTTCACAGTGTTAAAACACATGGCCTTAATAACAAAAATCACTCTGATCTCACTCATAAAGCAAAAGGATTTTGAAAAAGACCAAGTAAACCTACCACCTGTTAAAAGTTTTAGCATTACAATTAACTTAAAGAGTCAGCAATGACACCTACACCCAAGAGTCAGCATAAACCTTGGAAGTGAGAAAATCAACACTCCGATCATGCCTAGGACCTTCCTACATGAACCCCAGCAGATCCCCAAGTTCAGCCAGTAAGAGGGTGTTTTCCCTGACGGAGGCTGGGGGAAATGCCTGCCTTCCACGGGCAGAGGAAAATGTAGGAGGGAATTATCAGAGGCCCATGCACGCTGCCCTACTGTCTGATCCCGGGCATAAGTAGCCATTGTCCCGTAACCTATACTTTCACCTCCAGAATTCTAGATAAAGAAATAAAAATTAACCTCTTCTAAGTCTCAGAAGTGAAAAGAAAAATAGGCTTGCCAAATAAAGATCTGAATACATAAGCAAATTCATAGATGTATGATAAAGAAATTCTACTTACCTTCACTTTTCCCTGAAACACAAAACAAAATACAAAATGTTTATTATTATAAACTCCTTCCAGATGCCCCTTTTAATATGCTATGCTTCCATAAAAATAAGGCTTTTTATAATGGTTAGTTTTAGTCCATCAGTTCGTCCACATAAGCAGATTCCGTGAGATACTTCTGACCACAGCTCTTATCAATGACAGCGATTATGCCTGATTTGACTAAATGGCATCATCTCCAAGAGCCCAAATAATGAGCAGTTGCAGCTCATACAAGACTTAATAGGGGCCAACAGGAGAGGAAGGTCTAACCTATCATCTGAGCGTAGCCTCAAGGACTTTTGGCTGTTTGGCTGACAGCCTTTCCCCACTTCTATTTATCCTAAACCTATAATGTAGTTTCTGCTACAGATTTGTAGTATTGCTTTGAAATCTCCAGACTGACATTATAAAATTATACTCTGTTCAGGATTATTTTTAGAGGCTATTTGTAAGATTCAAATTATGGACAATTCAGCACTTGGTACGCAGCTGCTCACTTACTATTGAAAAATTATCTTCATTTGCCCACTTTTGTTCTATGCCATCACTGCTGGACTATTACAGTAACATATGCTCATTGCAAATTTGTTTTAAAAACAGAGAACACAAACGAAATAAAAAATATCATCCATAACTCCCTCTGCCCAAAAATAAACACCATTTACAGTTTGGTAAATGGCCTTTTTCTTTGTGCACAGATATTTAGATGCTGTATTTTACAAAAGTGTATTATACGTACTTTTGTAATGTTTTGATACCTGTTTCCCCTCAGTGGGCTATTGATCACTGTTGATGCAAATGAATGCAAGTTTTCGGCAACATTTATAATGGCCATATTCCACTATGAGAATATACCATAAATCATGTAGCCACTTACGTAATGTTAAATGTATAAATTGTTCCCATGTATCTTAAGATAAGGGTGGTTAATCAATTTATCAGACCACAGTGTGAGTTCATAGTGAACACCACCTCTTGTCTAGGAATTTGCATTTCACCTGATATTAAATCAATACCTTCCACTGAGTTACCATATGTAATGGCATAAACTCAAAAGCCTCATTTAAAGATGTTCTTTCATTTCTAACCTAAGTAAGACTAGTCTGCCAGCACTTAGGGAATGATTCAACCCGTTGCTTTCCAGGAGGAAACTTATGCTTGTGGATTGTACGAAATCAGCAGCTTTTCAAATAAATTTTTTAAAATGAAACCTTACACATTTGCTAAAAGCACATCAAAGATTTCATCGGTGAGCACATATTCAGAGAATAGGAATATATATTATAACTGCTTATTATAGACTGGAGAAGGGCTTGTGAATTTCAATTTCACATCCCCCCTGCACCTACACAGTGCCTAGCACGTAGTAAGTGGCGGATAATCATTTGTTGAAGGAACAGGTGATTTTTACTATTATAGACAAGACCATTAAATAAGTGGGACCACTTTTATCCATCCTTTACCTAATAAACTAGTACTCCATCTATGATGTGCCAGGCTCTAGATTAAGAGATGAAACCAATAAATGTTGTCCACATGTCCAAAGTACTAGGGCAGATCCACAGATACATAAATAATAGTCAAATAATGCTAGACAGTGGAAAGGGCTGTAAGAGAAGCAAAAGACGGCCTAAGATCACTTCATGAGAAGAGATTACTTCCAGTTTGGAGGATCGGGGAAAGTTTTGCAGAAAAGGAAGCATGTGGGCCAGACCTAAAGTGTAAGTAGACAATGAAGAATGAGATACGAAGATGTGTGAACTTGAAATCAGACTCCCAACGTATACAGTAATTTCAAGTGTTGGGGAAGATGTGAGACAGAAGGTGTTAGATATTCATTTAACTAGAAAATGAGTAAAAATAGTAGAAAAGCTGAGCACACATTTGGCAAAAACACACAGAATAAATATATAATCTAATCTTCATCCTGTGATAGTCAAATACCATGAATTTCATTACAGAAACACTCCTTCCTGAAGTGTATTTCAAACACCAATTTCTCTGCACGGGTAAGGCACAACGTCTATGGAAAAAGGAATCTGTGATCTCAAATGCTCCTGCCAGCCCTCACCAGGCCTTTCCCCTCCTTCTAACCAACGTTCACTGGCTGATAAATATAACAGTGCAATTAAATAACTCACCTGGACTGGAAGCCAAAGGATTTAAAGGTCTTTTAATTGTCTGTGGCCTGGAATCAAAAGAATTAAAGTGTAAAGTATAAATAGGTTACCTATATATAATGTTATAATTATTTAAGTAAAAGTGAAATTATCTCAGAAAGTTTTTTTGTTTTTAAATATATCTTTATATCTTTACATATAAATTTATCTTTATATATCTCTGATATCAGAGAGAGGAAGGGAGAGGGAGAGGGAGAGAGAGAGAAACATCAATGATAAGAGAGTCATTGATTGGCTGCAACCTGCAACCCGGGCATGTGCCCTGGCTGGGAATAGAGCCCCGATCTCCTGGATCCTAGGTCAGTGCTCAACCACTGAGCCACAACTAGCTGGGCATGTCAGAAAGTTTCTTAATGACTATCTCCAAAATCAAATTGTTTGATTGAGCTTTTAAAATATTTTAAAATATTTCGTTTTCTCTAATTGCTTTCAGGGAAGGTGGTGGTTATTTGTTTTAATGATAATAGTTTCTGATCTTTTCCCATGGTTGCAGCCAGAAAGTCATTTCCTAATCACTTCTTCAAACAAAGGAAGAAAAAATACCACTCACGCTCATCTCCTAGAGTCACTAATATGTTTCTAAATATATTATATACCCGTGTGTGTATATGCCACAAAGTGCACTCTAAATTGAAAGACAAACAAAAAATGTAAATGCCCAACACAAGCATTAAACTAAAAAAGAAAACCAATGTGGGTAGATTATTTTCCACTTAGGAAATTTAGGTACCTCAGTCTGCCCTGTGGCCATCAAGTTGGTTATGATTTCAATAAAATGTATTTTTTAAGAGTAAAAAGGACAGTTAATGTCACTAAAGCACTTTTAAATCTTGATATGAATATTCATTAGTATTACTATGTGAAGTGTAGGAATTATTTTAACGTCCATTATTTAAATTTTACAAATTTGCACAAGTTGAGATATTCTGAGAACAGAGCATGTAAGTTATATTTTAACATGATCAATTTAGCGCTTCATACATTGTTTATATTTTAGAAATATTGTGGTACTCATGATATAAATTAGTTAGAAAAGAGCTATAAAACTAATACAAAATCTAACAAATGCTCCAGCTGAACTCTATTTTAGTTCACTTTAAAAAAAAAAAAAAAAGCTTTAAAGTAAGTCAGTAAACCAAACATAAAACATTCTGAATAATAGTCAAGAGAATTTAAATGAAACATATGGCAGAAATGAGTAAACAATGAAAACTCTCCACTTTCCAAACTGGAGAAATTCTTCAAGTCATAAAAAAGAAAGTCTGACATTTTATTGGTATAAGTATACTTGCCGATGTCTTATATTTGCTTATATTTGACTTATGTAAAGTTAAATGTATTATCGCCGTATCTGGAAACTCCAAAGATTTTCCCAGAATTCCCCCTAATCTCTAAAATAGCATAACACACACACACACACACACACACTTCTTCCAAAACCCAATAAGCACATTGTTTAGACCCAGGAGGCCTACAAGTGGGTAACCTTGAAGCATGTCTCAATCTCCCAGTGATCAAACTGACTGTTTCCACTGTAGTGGTTTAGAGTATAAACTGGGTTCTTTGACACTGGACAAATCACTTAAAATCAGTTTCCCAAACTTCTGTTTCTCCCTCTGTGAGCAGTGATGACTGCAACACAGGGTGACTGGAAAGACTAACGGAGAAAATCTACGTAAGGCGCTTAGCACAATGCCTGCACACAGTGAGTGCTCAAAAGCGTTCGCTGTTATAATTATTCTCTGAAATTAACTTAACTTTAAAGCAGATAAAATAACTACAACTACAAAAAGAGGGGTATAAGTCACCAAAAAGAGAATTAGGACTTATACATTCTAATCTATCCTCTGCTACTAACTATATGATCTTAGAAAATGAAGTAAATCTCTCTGACTCTAGGGTACCTCATCTATAAAATGAGACTCTATGACCCATTCAAGGAACATTTTTTAAGTGCCCACAACACTCCCATAGAAGTCTAATACAGCCTGGCAGGCGTGGCTCAGCGGTTGAGCACCGACCTAGGATCCAGGAGATCAGGGTTCGATTCCTGGTCAGGGCACATGCGGGTTGCAGGCTCGATCCCCAGAACGGGGTGTGCAGGAGGCAGCCGATCAATGACAACTCTCTCATCGTTGATGTTTCTCTCTCCCTCTCCCTCTCCCTTCTTCTCTCTGAAATCAATAAAAATATTCTAAGTCTTTTAAAGAAGAAAGATATATTTGTTGAAACATATCTACATGTTCCCCCAGAGAAGTGGGTGAATAAATAAGTATGTTCCTACACCCCAATACCATCCTTTAGCGAAGTAAATTTGATTTGTACTTTTAAATCATTATCGTTTTATTTGTTAGAAATCACTGTATCTTCCAAAAATTTCTAAATGGAAATGGCACATACTTAAAGCAGTTTTCTTCATAGATGACATTCCATATCCTCCAAGCATCTGGTCCCTTGTAACCCGTGTAGCGCTCAGGATTAAGGAGCAAATCCACATATTCAGCATCAGGAGACTGTATGTCTACAAAATAAAATGTCTTATGCAACCTTTCCTTTTTTTCAGTTTCCTTTAAAGAGCTTGTATACAAGACTGTATTCCATTGATTCTAAGGCACCACAAATATATCAATGCCTCAGGGATTTAAAAACAACTTTTCAGGAGAAAGATAAGAGGGAAAAGAGGAAAGAACCGATACAGCCACATTAAGTGCACACACTGATTGCAGAAGCAGCCTGCTTTTAGAAATGGTACAAAATAGGGATAGGTGAATTTCAGAATCAAAGGAACATGGCATTTCAATTCTCATAAGCTATCCAGACAAAGAACATACTATACATTTCCCTCCACATAAATCACAGTAGTTCATCAGTAACTAAGGTAAATGAAGTGTTAGCACCATACGCTGTTACCAAATACTTCCTTCTTGCATGAGTACCATCTGGATCCACTACAAAGCTGTCCCAAAGGTATAATCCTAAATATGCAAAAAGTTATATGCTGGATGGCGTTTGTGTCAGCATTATTTATAAAAGGGAAAATTGGAAGCAACCTAAATGCCCAACGGAGCAAAGCATGGGTTCTGGAGCCAGAGTGCCTGGGTCAGAATCCAGGACAAAGTACCTAAATTCTCTGGCCTTGTTCATCCTTTCTAAGATGGGGATAATACTCATAGTGTTACTGTGAGACTTAATTAAATTATATATGTTCAGAGGGCTTAGGACAATGGGAAGAGAATAATAAATATTAGATAGTGGTATTGGTGTTATGATGTATATTTATAGACCATTTTACAGTCAAAACTATTAAGTACAAAGGCTATCTAATAAAATAAAAAGATAAACAGTATAGAGAAGTCAATGACAGATGTTTCTCTCTCCCTCCCACTCTCTCTGAAAAGCAATGGAAAAAAATACCCTTGGATGAGAATTTAAAAAAAAGATCCATTTCCCTGTATCAGTCTTTTTAAGTATATGCTTAGGAGTTGAATTGTTAGGTCATATGGTAGCTCTAGGTTTACCTTTTAAGGAAATGCAAAACCATTAGAAACTGAGTTTTTTTAAGTTATTCTTAAAGAATTACTCTTTTCTTAGGTACAATTTTAAACAAAATGCTTATTATAAAAAATGTTATACCATCAACTTCACAGAAGTTGTCTGAGGAATCATCATGCTTGGTCCACTGAAGAACGGCCTTCTGCGTTTCCTCACTTCAAACAAAGATAACAGTGTTATTCTTTTTTTCAAGTTAACATTTCACATGAAAAAGTAAAATACTGCTTGGGGGGGGAAAATCAAACCTCAGAGATTCATCCACAGCTCCAAGTCGCTCAGCTTGTTCACATTCTTCAATGAGATTGTTGGCTTCTTCAGAATACTGAAATGAAAGGGGAATATATAGAACACAACCTACCACATTTTTAAAATTTTTTAAAAGAGCCCATACGGGCATGGCTCAGTGGTTGAGCATCGACCTAGGATCCAGGAGATCAGGGTTCGATTCCCGGTCAGGGCACATGCCCGGGTTGCGGGCTCGATCCCCAGTCAGGGGCGTGCAGGAGACAGCCAATCAATGACTCTCTCATCATTGATGTTTCTCTCTCTCTCTTTCCCTCTCCCTTCCTCTCTCTGAAATCAATAAAGATACTTTAAAAAAAAAAAAAAAAAACTTTTTAAAAGAATTTTGAAGTTATTTGAAGTTCTTTTATACCTGGCACCATCACCTTGGCTTCAAAACTTAAAAAAAAATTAAGCCCTCACATTATCCTGAAGCTAAAATTATTAGAGAGCTTTGCCTCTTGTTTTTGTTGGAGAACATATTTACTATGGTGATCACACCAAAGTCTTCAGTAGGAAAATCTTTGATGTATGAGGAAGTCACTAGGCAAGCAGCCAGGAGGCAGTTTTCCACTTTTCTAATAACCTAACTGTAAGCATCAGTTTTCTCTTCCATAAAAAAGTGGTTGAACTATATCGTGTGTGTCTAAGGTTCATCTCAACTCTAAATGTCATGATTCTTTCTAAAAATGCCCTGCAGCTTCTCAAGTCTTATAAAAAGCATTCTGATACCTTCAGGTGTTTAACATACATTCTTTAACAACCGCATTTCTTCTCGGTTGTTAAGTCACTTTACATATACATATATATTGTGCTTGGTGTATGTGGCACAGGGGAAGTGTCTTTGATTTTGAACTTTAAATGAATTTATACTAGCATACACAATAATGATAAATGTTTTCCTTCAAGAAAATGAACTTCCAAAAGTTCTGAGTCCATCAATTGAATGAAAAAAAACAAACAACTTTTGGATTTAAAGATTTTCTATTTGAAACAGCTAATGATAGCATCATTTAACTGTGTACAAAGTTCTGCCATTGGAGCCAACACATGGGCTATGACTTTATTCTTTGTACGTAAACAAGAAAACATGGAATCGAAAATGAGCAAAGTTAGTTTAGAATCTGTAATAAGTAAATGGAGGGAAAAGAAACAAATCTCCCATACTGAAGAATTCCAAACAATTTATATCCTCAGGAGATGAAGCACTCCGTCAGTGTGGGCTGTGCATAGTGACTTCCTTTCAAATAATACGGTATGGAAAGGGTAAGAAAGAATAAGTCTCTGGTGGAGAAGCCTGACAAAACTACCTCAGCCAGGTGATCGAGGTTAACATTAGCAATGATAAGTCATGTTGATAGTATGTGATATTGATGTGATGTGATGTGACATGATGTGACGAAAATGGCACTTTACCTCTGTGGCCTTCCTCCCAAAATCACAGAACCCCACTCTGAGCATGAGAAAAACATCAGATGAGTCCCAATGGAGGGACATTCTATAAATGCCTGACTACTACACCTCAAAAACAGTTTATCCAAAACAAGGAAAGTCTGAGAAACTGTCACGGTCAAGAGGAACCTAAGGAGAAATGACTCCTAAATGTAACTTGCTATCCCGTGTGGGGTCCTGAAATACAAAAACGGCATTAGGGGAAAACTAAGGAAATCTGAATAAAATGTGGACTTTAGTTAGTAATAATGTATCAATATTGGTTCATTAATTATAATAAACATACCATACTAATAATGTAAGATGTTAATCACAGAGGAAACTAGGTGTGGAGTATATGGAAACTCTGTACTATCTTCACAATTTCTCTGTAAATCTAAAAGTATAAAATTAAAACTTTATTTAAAAAGAGAGAGAGCCCAGCCGGCGTGGCTCAGAGGTTGAGCATCGACTATGATCCAGGACATCTCGGTTTGATTCCTGGTCAGGGCACATGCCCGGGTTTCGGGCTCAATCCCCAGTAAGGGGCGTGCAGGAGGCAGCCAATCAATGACTCTCTCATTGTTGATGTTTCTCTCTCCCCCTCTCCTTTTCTCTTGCTGAAATCAATAAAGACATATTTTTTTTTTAAATAAAGAGAAAAGCATAATAGACACCTGAACCAAATGCAATTCATGGAATATATCTGAATCCTGTTTCAAACAAACTAGGAAGGCACTTATGAAACAACTAGAGAAATCTGAAGCCTGACCGTGCTTATATTTTTTAAAGTATTTTTTTTGTCTTAGAGATGTATATAAAGTATTAATGAACAAAATGATTTATCTGAGATTGGCTTTAACATTCTTGGGAGTATGAAGAGTGACATACAGATGAAACAAGATGGAACACACACTGATAACTGCTGAAGCTGTGTGAGGGGTACATGTTGCGGTTTTTCCCCCCTCTACTTTAATTTTTCTTTTATGCTTTGCATAATAAAGGGTTGAACAAAAGAACTGGAGCCACTGAGTACAGATAACTTTCAAGGGGTTTCACTGTGAAGGGGAGCAGAGAAGTGGGGCAGTAGGCGGCAGGGGACACGAGTCTTTCCAGTTTGTTAAGATACTAAGACACATTAAGAAATACATACATACCTTATAGCTTGCAGATTTAATTCCATCAGGAACTTCATCCTGAAAAAGAAGGGAAAAAATGCTTTTACGTGACATTTATTCTACTGAAAAAGTATTTTAAATTTCTATGATTTATTTATGAGAAAAATTCATGAAACAAATTGTTGAAGTTAACATTTTTTAACTGAGAATAATTATGGTAGTTTTTATATTATTTCCTACAAGTAAACGAAAAATTCAACAACATATTATTCTGTGGCTTGCTGATATATATATATACAGCACAGAAATGTAAAAATAGTCCCTTAGCTGTTATTCCATTTGATATTCAAATTGTCCACATTTGGCCACTAGGGGACCCACTAATGCTTACTTGATGTTTGCACCTGTGTCCTTTTGACATTACCCCTGTAATCTTTAACAATATTTTTTGGTTTCTGTTATGACAAGATACTCCAAGCTCATCTTGTATATTTCTTGTTCCAGTCTTGGAATCAATCATTTTTGAAGGAGCCTTAGATCTTTTCAGAGAAAACTGATACCAGTTTTTAGTCAAGCATTGGCCACTTACTAACTACAGGACCTGTCTGCCTGTCGTCAAAGTAATGCTGTGAGTACCGACAATGAAGTATGTGGGAGAACTCTGTCAAATGCAGGCCCATTTGCTAAGTATATTTCTGAATTAGAGTGTGCCTGCCCGAAGGGAAGGACCCACACAGAGACATTGACTTTGTCCTGTACCCTTTCAAGCCGTGAACTAGGTCAACATATATTCTTTTTCTATGACCAGGTATTTAGATGATTCCTAATTTTTTCAAATAATAAACCATGCCGAATGTATAGACTGATTTCAGCAGAACTGACATCTTGAAAAAAATTCAGTGCTGCTTATTCTTTGGGCATCTGTTTAATTCTTTTAGTCAATGAAATTCCTAGTAGAATTGCTAAGTCCAAGGATATGTACCTTTACAATTTTTTTGATGCATTTGCCGAATTGATCTACAGAAAGACTTTATCACAAGAGTGCTCATTATAATGCCAGACTGATACTGGTTACTGCTATTCTTTTTCACATTGGCCAATTAATAATGGAGGTGAGAGAACATTGTTTTGAGTCTCTGTAGAGGGAAGAGTCAGTGTTTCAGCTTATACAGAGATTCCAGCCACACTCAAACAATTTCTAGAATCAGGGGTGCAAATCAAAGAACATGGATTTTAAAGACCAAATTTGAGGAGGAGAATTTTAATTTTTATTATTTGTCTATCCCCTGCTGGGTGCCAGGGTATAACCTGAACCAAGTCTAAAAAATGAACCGAAAAACGAAACCAGTGTTGACAACAAGGAAACTGGTGTTGGTTCCCTGTTTAGCCCAAAAAGTTATTAACAAAACAGCAGCAGACCATGTGAAGTAGTGAGTTAACTGTATTTAACCTTGTATGTCAGATTAAGAAAGAATTATTAAGTGCTTTAGGTGTGATAACTGCACTGTGTTCATAATGTAATGTCCTTTTTTGAAAGAGGCAGACTGAAGTATAATAGATGTCAAAATATCAGTAATGTGCAATATAAATTCTAGCTATGAAAGCTGATTATTTAGGCTGAAGCAAGTATTTCAAAGTATTTGAAAGGATCTCTAATCACTCTTTGGTTTTGACAGACTGCCCTATTTAGGAACCATTGGAACTGAGCCCAGGCTTGTCCTAAGGGGAATGTAAATGGCTCATTCCCTCACTGTCGCTTAGAGTGGACTTTCTGTGTCTCCCTCCTCTGCTCTCCCTTCCCCTCTGCTCCCACAGTGTGTACACATTCAGTACACACTGAATTATTGGGCTATCACTTTTGCACTGCAATTGTCACTTAGTGTTTGTCTCCCCTACTAAACCATAGCTCCTCAAGATAAAAGCTCATCTTATACGTCCAGGTTATGGCAGAGAGTAGACCCTCAAAAAAATATTCACTACTGAACCAAATTACATTCGGTTGCTAAGTGATATTCCTTTACCCATTTCTTCTCCTTCTCATCTTCCACGCCACTCTCCACAATATTGCCGATTATCTTTCCAAAATCTTGGGTCTAATCATGGCACTTCATACACACACACACACACACACACACACACACACACACACGAGATATATGTATAATTATAAACTAATAATATATTTAGGTGGATAAACATCATCTAATTATCTTTTAAGGAAAAAGCCTTCTCTCCACTGTGAAACCAGTTCAAGAAAACAACAGACAACTGGCATCAAAGGCACTTTGTCCCATTCTGCAAATGGTGAAATGACTAGATTCTGTCTCAGTTTCTCAGTACAAGTTGCTAACTTCCACCTGATGCTTTTTTTAGCATTTCTATGTGTTCAAGTCAAGTAATAAACATGTATCTCTTAGCATTTCTTAAGTGCTAAAATTGGTTGTTGTCTCCAGATTTTACAGTAAAATAAGGCTCATCCTTGGTCTGTCAACCTGGGAATCAATAAGCTATTGCTTAATGCTAAACATTTCTCAGGTTTCTTGCCCCCTCCAGTCTTCTCAAAGTGGCATCCCCTAGTTCAATCCTTCATTAACAATAATCAGAAATAATTGCTATTTCAAGATGAGATCAAATTTGTAATCGTTGTAAAACTACTTGTTTGTTCCAACTATGGTTAGTAATAGCCCATTTAGTAAGGAAATTCAGCATAAAAAAAATAACAGCCCAGCCCTGGCCCGTGTGGCTCAGTTGGTTGGGCGTCATCCTGTTCACCAAAAAGTTGCCGGTTCTATTCTCAGTCAGGGCACATGCCCAGGTTGGGGCCTTACAGGAGGCAGCTGATCGATGTTTCACTCTCACACTGATGTTTCTCTCTCTCTCCCCCTCTCCCTTCCTCTCTCTCTAAAAAATCAATAAAAATATTTTTTAAAAATAACAAAAAGAAAAACAACAGCCTATTTAATGTACAAGTACAATGAAATGCCTTTATTAAATATCTATCATATTTTTAGCATTTTTAATAAATCATATATATAAGTTATTGGTAAATGTGAATTTTCCCAACTATTTTTTTTCTATTACTAAATATAAATGCTAAACTTATAAAGTAAAATGAAACATTTAAATTGATAATATCACTTTAATGACATACTCACGCCTTAGTCATAGTAACACAAGGTGTTTCATAAGTTAATCCTTGAATTTTCAAAAGCTGTACCTATGAGGGTTAATAGTGGTGTTCCTCAAAAACAGAATCACTAAATGACCCAGCAATTCTATGTCTGGGTGTATTATATCCAAAAACTGAAAGTAGGGACTCAGACAGACATTTTTATACCCACGTTCATAGCAGTATTTACAACAGCTAAAAGGTAGAAACAACCCAAAAGTCAATCAACAGGTGAATGGGTAAAAAAAATATAGTCTACACACACAGTGGAATATTATTGGGCCTTAAAAAGGAATAAAATCCTAATACATGCTACAATGTAGATAAACCCTGACAACATTATGCTACGTGAAATAAGCCAGACACAAAAGGACAAATATTGTAATGATTCCCCTTATATGAGGGACCTAGAATAGTCAAATTCAGAGAACAGTGTTTGCCAGGGGTAGAGAGATGGGGGAGTAGAAAGTACTGTCCAATGAGTGCGGCGTTTTAGCTCGGGGAGATGGAAAAGTTCTGGAGATGGAAGATGGTGATGGTTATGCAACAATGCAAGTACTTAATGCCACTAACCTAGACATTTAAAAAGTTAAAATGGTAAATTTTATGTCTATTTTACCACAAAAAAAGTAAAATAAAAATATATACTTTTTTTAAAAAAAAGGGCCTCATTGAAAAGTGTCAAGTTCTCTGTTTTCAGAGTAAAATACTTCAAATTGTAATGCTCTGAGAAATCCTACATAAAACCAGGTATTTTGTCCAACTCCTCTGCACCCTAGGAAATGCAAGGAAAATAATACACCCACAAAAAAAGGGAGAGGGATTTTGTTTATACCTTGATTAATTTCATTTTATTACACTACAAACATAACTTTGTTCACATAAGAGATAAGAAAAACAAATATCAAGCCAAAAAATTGCAGATGCTCCTTGACTTATCATTGGTTTATATCCCAATAAACCCATCATAAGTTGAAAATACAGTAAGTCAAAATGAATTTAATACACCTAACCTCACAGCTTAGCCTGGCCTACCTAAAAGGTGCTCAGAACACTTACATTCACCTACAGCTGGGCAAAAGTATCTCACTGCCCAGCATCGAGAGAGACTGTCATACCACGTATCACTAGCCAAGGAAAAGATCAAAATTCAAATTACAGTTTCTACTGAATGCATATGGCTTTCACACCATCATAAAGCCAAAAAGCTATAAACTGAAGCATCGATTAAGTTGGGGACTATTTGCATTAATCTCATTAATAAGTAAAAGGATTACATTAACTACAAAATTTTAACTCTATTACTATGAAAGCAGTATGATTCAAAATATGTTTTATATTTGTAAATTTAGGTTTTTAATATGTAAATATTATACATTAGATTTAGCCTAAGGATTAAAATGTCATCTTAGTTACATCGACTCCTTTTAAAAAGTTGTAATTATTTGAAAAGAGATGTAACAGTTCTTAAATATATGCAGGGATCTTACAGATTGACAAGGCTTGACGGCACAGTCTCTCCTTCCACACTGGCCGATGTCATCCCAAAAAGGACATGGTTTCTTCAGATTTACCTATAAAATAGTAATAGAAAACATTTAAAAATCATCTCTAAATATAGAAAAAGTTTAGAACTGACAGATGTTGAATTGTGATGCTATAACCTGATTGTGTTATTGGCTGCAATGATTCTATTTCTTTCCCTTACCAATTGTCAAGTTCCAATGATGACATAAATGTACAGCTGGTATTAGTAAATTGGTAGACTTGGTTAAAAGGACACAGACTATGACTAAACAAACCCTGAACAAATGACAACTAGGAGGCAAAGGAGCTCAGATCACCACTACTCAACTCATATGCTTTTAAAGCAAGTAACAGTTAACATGGCAGGACAGACAATTGTGAACTCAGACTGTAACTACATAACCCAATGATCAGGCTTTCTAAACTCCTTTAGTAGATATGTCAAGATAAAATATGACAAGTAACTTGGTCAAAATAAAGCTATGCTTCTTAAAAATATTTCATTTAATAATATTAATTAATTGGAATAAATCTGACGTTTAGAAAATTATGAACATCTCATGATTTTGATAATACATATAATAGTTTCTTTTCTCACTTCAGTTTAACCAACTAGTTTCTAACTCTTGAGTGTAAAACTCAGTTATTGGAATTAAAAGTATACATTGGGTAGTCTCAGAGCCACATGGTTCACTCTTGTGAACTGAATTTTCCTAATATAGCCTCAATAAATTTCAAGCAAAAGCCACAATTTTGAAGTTTAGCAATGCCTAAGAAAATGTAATTATCAATTTAAACTTTAAGTATTCTTATACAAAAAAATAAAAATACCTTGTAATATCTAAAGTAGTCGCTTGCAAGAAGTTTTTGTAGTCTTGGAAAAAGTCTGTAGTTATTAAATTTATCAATGGTTTCAACATCACAGGTACAATCATCCAAGTAACCACTAACCTGTTACAAAGAAAATGAAATATTACATCAAAATGTCTTAAATGCGACAGAGTTCTTTTCCTCGCATGGTTATGATGTAGGCCCTCTACTCAACCAATGTGTAACCTCCCTCCTCCCCATAATTTTCTGGCATAGGGTAGCACACTAATCTAGTAATGGTATTGCTCTTACTATTGACCTAGAGGAATGCAGTGGATACTTTGTGTAGGATGCACTGAGCTCATACGGACACATACACACCCAATGATTTGGTCCCCTAAGCCACTCTGTAACCTTGCCCGCCAGGCCTGACCAGGGGTGGGTTATACAAAGATACACAAATATTTTTAAAAATACACAAAGATACATCTGACCCAAACCAGGTCCCGGTCCCTTCCCTAGGAATCCAGAATTGAGACTAAAATGTCTCTCCCTGTGGCTAGACCAGTAAACAAGTAAACTCAGACCATATTCCATTGTGAACTGAGGGGCATGTGACCAGTGAGCAGAGAAAAGGAGGATTTTAAAAGACACACAAAGAAGCAGAGATAGGAGATAGAAAACATATGCTACCTGGACTCCAGACGGTTTTCCCCACTTCTCCCCATCTTTCCTGAAGCTCAGCTGCATTCGCATCCTTGGCTTTCCTGAGACTCTTATCTCCTTATAATTCAGTTATCTCTGTCTTTCCCTTATTTTAGTTTCCCACAGGATGTGCTGGTCAGAGACAAGATGGGTGAAGTGGTAATGAATTTGTTAAGACAAACAATAATTTATTAAAAGGATCTAACAACCCTCAAATACCAGGCCATGATCATTTTTTGTAGGTTCAAAATGGTGCTCAGAAATTAGTTATCATCAGCAACACTGAGATAGCAAATTGCCCGCAACGCTGATCTTCAAATGCTTAAAACTCATGTCTTAACTGCATTTACTAAATCAAACTATTAAATCTACAATGGGAAATCATATTATAGTCAGACAGTGCTATCAAATGTGAAAATGAAATTCTTAGATGTTTATTGGGGGCTAGGCAACATCTAACAGAATTAACTAAACATTGCTTTAAGGAAGTAACAAATACATCATGACTTTTAAAAAGTAGCTAGAAACATTTTTTAAAATACAGCATGCTGCAGAAAAGAGATTCTGCTTGGCTAGACTGGTTCCGTTGGTTCAGCATCGTCCCATGCACCAAAAGGTTGCCAGTTTGATTCCTGGTCATAGCACCACACTGTCTAATTATATTTATGTCCTACTGTGTCACCTGTGGTGTCCCAGACCACACCAGCTCGAGCGGCAGGAGTACACTCACAGAGCAAGGAAAGCAAGCAGCAAAGGTAACAACACTTTGCATCCATCACTCTACCGATGGACACCCCAATTACAAAGGAAGCTATACGAAGCCCCAAACAAGAAAGGAATGTAAGATGCATCCAGGGCAAAGGAGGCATTTAGTCTAGAGACCTCAAAAGGAGAGGAGGCGGGACAACGGCAGATTTTAAAATCTTCTGTCCCTTACCTTAGAAACTGAGTGGGAGGTATCCCCAGCTACAACTACAGGTAGCAGAACAGCCTAGGAGGTAGAACGGGGGCCGCAGGGGGTTCAGTAGATAGAGCTCAGCGAAGAAGAGACAGGAAGGTATTTGGAAACCCGAGTCATCTGACCATTTGGATAAGCCTGCCAACAGGCAGCAGAGCCCGAAACCTGGCAGGAAGCCTGGCAGGTATAATACCACGCCCACTTCTAGCAACTAAAAAACCAGGCATGTTACCAGAATAGAATCTCAGGAAAAGAATAAAGTAGAAATCCAGTTAATAGGCCCAGGGTAGAATCTTGGAAACAAAGCAGAGCCCTATTACCTAAACTCAAACCAAAAGGCAGGTGCCAACAGATAACAACGATGTCGTGATGCTGTAGAACGTACTAAACCTGCTTAAATAATTACTGCCCCATCTTCCAAAGGAAACAGAAATCTGGCCATGCCATAGAAATCTGAATTTTTAAAAAATATACACACCTTGCGCCCCCACACACACACACAAACTGATTGATGCATGCTAAAACTTGAACCTTACTGATTTGGCTTCAGGTGATACTCAGCCACGGGTAGGAGCCCAAATTAGTAAGTGACCATTAAAAGGCCCTTGTTGAGGAATGGTAGATTTGAGGACCAATGTAGGCCTGATGTAACATCACCCAGTTTAAAGTCCTAGTCTCCTAAGAATGGGAAAGCCTTCGAGGGCCTTCTATCGCAACTCCCAAGCAACACAGCAGTCCCCTCCGACACACCTTCTGGAAGGAGGCAGTGTACAACAATGGTTAGTGCAGGCTCTGGAGCCAGGGTTGAATCCCATCTCGACTACTTATTCAGTTTCCTTACCTGCATTTTTTAAATTCTCTAGGCCTCGATTTCTTATCTGAACACAAAATAGAATAGTAGTTCCCATCTCAAAGTGTTGATATCGAAATAAAATGACAAAGTAAAATGCCCAGAAAATATTAGTCATTATTATTACCTTACCACTGTTCAAATGCTTCCAGTGAAAGGGATCTTACTAGTCCCTTACGCAACCTACAACACATTTTTAATGGGGGGAAAAGGCACGCGTTTTCAGTTTAAATTTTCCAAAAATCTTACATCTGGACCCGATGGAACGCAGAACTAGATAACCAAAAGTCATCTGTGGAAGGGGCCTCAATTGCTTTCTCCATCGATTCTGACTGGTTTGGACCCAATAACAAAATACCGTATAAAAGGCAAGAGAAAAGAAAACAACACTGGCCCCCTTGTTCACTGTTCTCTGGTTAGAGGTATACTTTAGTGTGCAGTGAAAGACAAACGAAAAACACTTTCTAAATAGCTTCCTTGTGTACCAATTTCTAGACCTACCACAGATATCATTTTTCCCCCAAAGCAATGTAAGAATATATTCCTCAAACTCATATAAATATGAAATACTTTTTTAAAGTGTTCCAAGTGCACAGTATTTGGTAAAGAACTTTAGTTGTATTTAATTGTATTGTTTTGTTACCATAAAAAAGAACATAAGTGCTCATTTGCTAATAGAGTGGATTGTGACAACTCTTGTTTTCTTGTCCTTTATTATTGATTTTAGAGAGATGGGAGAAGGGAGAGAGAAACACCAATTTGTTGTCGCACCTATTTATGCATTCATTGGTTGCTTCTTGCATGTGCCCTGACCGGGGATGGAACCCGCAACCCTGGCGTATCAGGACGATGCTCTAACTAACCGGGCCAGGACAACTCTTGTTAATGGAAGCAAGAGAACAAAGATTCTATACTGGGTAGTTGGTACCCTTCTAAGGACATGGAATGAACGCTAAGAGCTATTTCTCCTTTAAAGTTTTGGTCTTGCTAGAACTTTAAATTGTTGTTAAGTGCCCCAAAGTACATCAACCAATATGAAACATGCCCCGTTCCACACGCTTTGTTCAGAAAAGCCTGCAATGTAGCAAGTACTCAGACTCAATGGGCAGCTCGCCGGTATGATCGGTTTCAAAGATCCCTCTGACTAAATTTTAATCCTGGACTTATTTCTACCCATCACCTAACGTATTATCAAGTGCCTTTTCCATGGCCCAGCCACTCTAACAAATTTAAAACTATTTTAAAAATTGACATAAACAAGACACTAGACAGGTAAACCTGTTAAACTCATGTATGCAGGGTGCATCTACACTGTACTCCAAAAAAAAATAATCCTTTTTCAAAGTAGCCATTTGGGATGACCTGAATTACTCCGTTCATTAGCCTGGTAAACAGATGTACTGCAAATACGCGGATCTAAGTGTTATTAGCACTAGCCATATTAAGATTGCAAACTCCTATGTAGTCAAAATGTTTTATCAAACTCATTTTTAATTCATTTAAATGAAAAAAGGTGTACACACTGCCTCCATATCTGAGCTTCAATATTTCTTCTGAGGTTATTTCTTTAAAATGAATCCTGATCCCGGCCGGCGTGATTCAGCAGTTGAACATCGACCTAGGATCCAGGAGATCGAGGTTCGATTCCCAGTCAGGGCATATACCCGGGTTGCAGGCTAGATCCCCAGCAGGGGGCATGCAGGAGGCAGCCAATCAATGACTCTTATCATTGATGTTTCTCTCTCTCTCTCTCTTTCTCCCCCCCTCTCTCCGAAATTAATAAAAATATATTTTTTGAAAATGCATCCTGAGATTCCACGAGTTGAGACTAAAGTTCTGTTATATTCATTCTCTCAAATTGTACATAATGGGCCATAATTGTCAAAAAGAAATAAGAAACTCTGAAAAGTCTTCATTTACTTCAAGCCCATCCCTATTATTACAACAATACTACAAATAATATTTCGGTTTAAAGGAAGAACAGATCCTGATTATGGGGTTGTTTACACAAACTATAAATAGACTTGTACACCAAAGGGGGGGGGGGGACAATTTTCTGTGTAAAAATATTTTTTAAAAGAATGTTTTTAAAAAGTGGGGGCCCTGGCCTGGTAGCTCAGTTGGTTACAGTATGGTCCAAATACACCAAGCTTGGGGGTTCAATCACCCAGTCAGGGCACATACAAGAATCAACCAATGAATGCATAACTGAGTGGAACAACAAATTGATGTTTTCCTCTCTCTCTCTCTCTCTCTCCCTTCCACTCTCTCTGAAAAGCAATGGAAAAAATATCCTCCAGTGAGAATTAAAACAAAAACAAAAAAGTTGCCTCTGAAAAGAAAAACAGATGTTCTCAAAGGAAAGGAAGGGATCTAACAGATTTTTGTGTTGGGGAATATTTAAATCTTGAAAATATTACGGAAGGGGAGAAAAAGCTTAAACACGAATCAGAAAATGAAGAAAATAAATGTGGCCCTGGCAGGGTAGCTCAGTTGGTTAGAGCACCGTCCTGATAGGCCAAGGTTACAGGTTCCATCCCTGCTAAGAGCACGTGCGGGAATCAACCAATGAATGAATAAATATGTGGAACAACAAACTGATATCTCTCTCTCCCTAAAATCAATCAATAAATGTTAAAATTTAAAAGCTCCCCAATTTTAGATACCTGAGAAGGTTATTGGGGGGAAAAGTGGGAAATGAAAAGCTCATCGTGTACTTTTATTCCATTATCCAATTTCTAGAACGCAATTGAAAACGTTATCGTTGAAAGGCAGATATCTTCTTTCAACACCAAATGCCTTATTTTAAGGTCACTTATTTCTATATTACTTATTTTTTAAATGTTTAAACTTTGTATTTCTGTAATCAGAAGAAAGATGACCCTTTTCCTTTATAAGTACTGTGAGCTGTTTACCGTCACTGAAGGTAACTTTCAATCCCTTAGTTGTAAAGCAGCAACTTCTCTGTAAGCTCCCTCACGGGTTCCAGGTGACACCCAACTCCCAAATCACTCAGCAAAACAAAACAAGGTCCCAGAGTACAAAGCAGTGAAAAAGTTCTCTCTTCCTCTCATAACACTTAGTGTTCCTATCCTCTGTGAAATCGCAGAATTGCCTTTACACACATAAGATGTTATTTCTGACAATAAACGAATCGTAAAATCCACTTAAAAGGAACAACTTGGATGCCCACCCTCAATTTTGTATAAAATGTAATTTCCATCAACAGAAGCCTACCAAACGGTGACTTTAAAAAATAATGACATTAAAAATACGAGGAATCGGAGATCCAGACATCTGGACGTTTATTTGAATATTTTTTCTCATCTGTTACTAACACAGGAAAATGATTATAATATGCTTGATACCAAATTTGTTCTCCGCCCAATTCAGAACAGTTGTATGGGTGTCACGGTAAGAAAATCTCATGACATTAAGGAAAATAGGGAGGAGAAAAAAAAAAAAACAGGGCGAGGAACCACAGAGGTGCGGCGACTCCGACGACAGCAGGCACTGGGCTTGGGCACAGAAATGCCGCACGAAGCCATGCCCCCGCCCGAGGAGGCGATCTGACAGCGGCGCCCCCGTCGCCACCCCCGCGCCTTACAGAAAAGCCCGTCGCGGCCAGAAAGGCGGGCGAGGGCACCCGGCACGGGCGCAGC